AGGAACTTCTATATCTTCTCCAAGCCGAGTGGAAGAAATACCACTAGGTGTCATACAACGACTTGTGGAAAGTATGCCCCGGAGGGTCTACGCTGTAATTACCTCTCGTTAAGACTCTACCAACTATTGATTTTGAATAAAGTTAGTTTTTCTTTTCTATCACAGGTGTCCAAATACTTATTGGTAGCCAGTGTATGTCGTTTTAGCAAGGTTTGAAAGATTTTACAGAGAGAAGGGCAATGAAAAGACTAGAAACTGTTCAGATTTACAAACTGCTCTGTTTTACAATGTGTTACGATTGTGTATTTTGGATTTTACTGTAAAATACAGCGATAGCTCTCAGAAGATCAGAGCAAAGTTGAAGATAACAATCCAACCTAAGAAAGGATAATTAACTCTCATTAACAGCTTGCATAACCGCATAACTTCAATGGATGATTTAAAAAGGGCATTTTACAGTTTCTGCCGACACAAATAATTCACTTTCTTTTTACTTCCTTGTACGAAGTAAAAAGAAAGTATTGTAATCGCGAAAAGTTTTAGGCAGCATATTTCAACGAAAAATATCCATTTTGACCGCTATCGAATGCAATTTAAACGATGTTTTTACGTGATATCTGTACGTAAGGAACAGAATAAAAGACTCTTTTTCCAAAAAAAATTAAAAAAAATTTTGCTTTAAAATGAATTCTGAAGAGAATTTTTTCGTGACGTATTTGTACGTATGTATGTATCTCGCAGAACTCAAAAACGAGTAGCCTTATAGCCTCAGAACGTTGACATTTTGTATATGGGACTGCTATAGCATGTAGATGTGCACCTCGTATTTTGGTTGCAATCGGCCGCCACCAAACAGTATATAAAATATATATATATATCCACTCTGTTAACTCGCCGGCTGAGCATTTTTTTTTTTTTTTTGTTTTGTTGTTGTCTCAGTTTTTCTGTTGTTGTTCTTATAAGTTGTGTAAATTGTGCATTTTTTGCTTTAAAAATGGTAGAGTTATGTTTGTTCTTATCTTCCGTTAAGGTAAAGTAAAGTAAAGTCATGAGGTGAGTAAGTACGCATAAAGTATCTGTTATCTCTTTTAATACTATATATTGCTACATACGAATAACTTCATTATATTAAGGTAATTTGCATATAATTTGAGTAAAGCTGATGACAGATACGCTGGAAGGTAAAGAATTGGAACGCCAAGTTTGGCTTGCTTGTTCACTGTGTTTAAATCCTTAAGTACATAAATAAAAGAAAACATTCTTGCCATTTGCAAATCTTGTAGTCCTGAGTTATGCAGCGTTCTACAGTTCTAGTGCTTAAGGGAACTACAAGAACACTTGGCACAGTTTAAGGATACCACATTTTCACTTTACCTACGAGATACAGGTGTTTTGTTGTTTTAAATATTCCTTTTCTTTCATTACATATCATAATTTTATACTAATCGTGTTATCGAGGAAAATTCATCTGCTTTTATTACATGTTGCATTATCAGGTTCTGTGTTCCGCCTTACTTGCTTTGGGAACATTCAAGAACCTGACTCGGAACAGGGAGCTTACTAAAGTTATGTTCAATAAATGTGGGAAGTAGACAAGATACACAGGAAGGGTATACGAAACCCTTTATTTTTCACTCTTTACAATGGTTTTCGGACTTCGGAATACAGAGACCAACCACTTGTGGTCTGAACATAAGAATATAAAAATATTAACTAAAATCTAACTTAACTTTGGAATAATAACAAGGGCCTACGTGGAAGATTGGCCGTATATTAACAGGAAGCCGTATGTAGTACAGAGAACTGTTAACACTACAATACGTTTAAAATTATTAAGAGGATTAAACCTCTGGCCTGGAAGGCAACCAGCAACCGAGTAAAACTGCTAAGGCAAGCGGCCTGCTTCGACTAACTCCTTCCTCTCTCTCGCTTGGCAAAAAGCCACAACTTAAGTACTTGGCGTTAGCAAGACAAATTTGCATAAATAAGTTAAAGCTTTTAATTCTGGCCGGAAGTAGAAAACAAGAAGTGATAGTAAAGATTTAATATAAAATAAACGTTAGTAAAACTTAGGATCCTTACAGCATCACCTAATAAATTTTTAGGAGTATACAAGATATTCGGAAAAGGGGACAAAGCGATTGTTTTGCTGAGTGTTGAGCTGTAAGTTTATCCTGAATGTCAATGATATTTTTCGCTACATTCACTTTTATTGGGCATTTTATGATGCCCAATAAAGGTGAATTTGTAAAGATGTACATCTATTTTTGATTTTAAAATTGCATTCTCTTAAGTATAGTTTACATTTAAAAGAAACCAAATGCAAGTTTACATTTTCTCAAACATACTTGTACTTTGCTTTAGTTTTTAATTTGAATACTCAGAGTATCCACTATAAACATAATTAAAGATTTTATTCTTTCAGATTTGTTAAATACTATTTCATACAAACCTTAGAAATTGATTATAGTATATGTATTTGGTTGTAATGTTTTGCTTTAGCTTCTAGGTGGAGCTATACTGGGCATCGGAATATGGATTCGAGCCGATAGCGATTTCTGGGAATATCATCGTGCTCTGAACATCCCTCAGTATTACCAAGCATGCTACGTTGCAATTGCTTTGGGAGTCATTATCCTCATTATCTCTTTCTTCGGCTGCTGTGGGGCTGCTTTAGACAGTCCATGTATGCTTTTTACAGTGAGTATTTCAACAAAAATATTATGATAGTATTAACTGTAATAAATATCAACCGAACAGAGATTTGAGTTTCGGTAAATAATGAAATGCCTTTATAATCATACGTCGCTAAACATAAACGTTCCTGTGGTACGAAGCACCAAACAGAAACTGAACACAACATTTATAAAACTTTAATTAAATATTCTTCAGTTTAAAAAATATTTTACTAGACTACCATAGATATGGTAACAAGAGTAAAAAATTATTTTGTTAATCGAGGTAATTTACCCTTTGAACGAAGCCATCATGAATCTTATAAGTACCAGCTGTTCATCAGATGGTTGGGTAATAGAGTCCCTTGCTAGCATTTCGAGAAAGATCATGCATTGTTTTAAAATCTAAGACGTGCGAAGTAGTTACTTATGTGCAGGGTCTGATGGAGTTAGTGTAAAGGGCGACGAGGGTAATATGAAAATAGTTGCCCACATCTTTTACCAAGTCTCAAGGATGGCATGCATGAAGGTGCCGGTACCATTACGAAGTTCTGTACCCTGAGGAAAGCAACCCTCAACGATGCTGCCGCGACGCCGATATGATGGTTTTAATCTTAGCGGACAATCAGCAAGATGTATTAAAGGTGCCGAAGCCCCTCTCTCCCTTTTCAGGAGAAAAATTATTCTTCAGCCTAAACGATATGTTTCCACTAGACCAGAGCTTAACATACTGGTGCCTTACATTTTCAGAAGAATACAGTATGGGTTGGACTGATTTTTGTCGTATATAGCAAGTAGGATTTGAGAATAGTTAGTAGACGATATTAGTCTACGTCCACTTATCATCATATTTTGATACGATCTGTTGAAAAAAATAGTTGATCGAGTCCTTCTAATAAAAGGAACAGTCCGAGCCCATTTAGAGCGTCAATGGGATGCTTATAATTGCATTTCCGTTTTAGGTAGAAGTTTTACAATCTTTCTCAAAGACTTGGTTAACATGCATGAGGATCTGGTTTGTAAATCTCACAAATTCAACATATGCCAAAATAAAGGGACCAGATTTCAAAGCATTTATTTTCTATAGCGATGACATTCTTTAATACAGAGGCTGTTCGCACATTTTATATACGATTCTGGTAAGCGGTAATAAAAGATCATTTGCTGCAAAAGAAGTAATTGCAATTGTACTCGTACTATGTTTTCAAAAGTCAGAATTATCGTCTGTGGCTTGAAAGTTTCGTTTTTATTGAAATTGGCGAATTTAACAAAGCAATGGTTCGAAGGTTACATGTACGCTCTTTCCGAAGAGAAATATGCATACTCCTTTATCCAAAAACGATGTGAGAGTCATGGTTTTGTGATATCTAAAGCGTCGATAGGTAATATCATCAACAAGAAAGGAAACAAAACGTCAAATTGGAGCCTCAAGGGGGATAAAAATTCCAAACAAGTATCCAAGGAAAAAACGGACATCTTCGACTATTCAAAGTACGTTGTTTATGTTCAACGAAAATCCCCTAGTCAAAGGACAGTTGAAAAATCATTAAAATGCTCGGTGTCCACTGTAAACAAAATGATTAAACGTTGATTTAAATCTTAAGAAGCGAAGAAACTAATGTGCATCGTCTTCTTCCAAAGCATATCGCTCAAAGCAGGACACGCTGCAGATTCTATATGAGAAACACTTACCCAAAGCAAAATGAAAAACAACTGTCGCAATAGATGAAGCATGAGTGTATTTAAATGATTGTAACAAAAAATGAGCCATTTATTATCATAAAGGGGGGGGGAGAAATTTAAGTATATGGTTCAAAGAATCGTAAGAAAGTTTTTCTAAGGGATTCATTATTGCTGCTGGATTTTCTGATAATGGCAAGTTGAAAATAAAGAGAGTGCAAAAAAAATGTCAAGATTAACTCCAAATACTGTCAGGAACATATTTTATTGCCAATTTTTCTGAATGAAATACCATCGCTTTACCCACAGTACCATCAATCTGTGAGACTCCATAGACAAAGCTAGCAGTCGACATCCAAATCCACTGTAAATTTCCTAAAAAGAAAATGGAACAAAAAACTGGTATCAAAGCCTACCCTTCACTGATATCCCTACTAAATCTCCCGATGTGTCCTGGATTTTGTGCTTTCGGACTTTTAAAACTGCATTGTCCAACGTTGTCCCCTAACCTAACAGGACTCTGGAAAGCTGTTCGGGAGGAATGGGATAGAATATCTCTTCTGCACTTCAAAGGCATTATTTCCTGGGAATGCGGGTGTCGAAAGATAGTTCAAAATAAGGGATGTCAAACAGAACATTTTTTATGTACTCGCTTCGGCAGTACATGTACTAAAATTGGAACGATACAGAGAAGATTAGAATGGCCCCTGCGCAAGGATGACACAAGAATTTTTTGTAATTTAGTTTTGTGAATACAATATACATCGTGTAAAAAATGTGTGAACAGCCTCTGTATTATTGCTGAACCCTGGCGTAAATGGCTGGCTAATGCCAAAAAGATAATTTCCGTTTAAGTCTCCTTATCATTTCCCGGGGTTATTATCAGTCTCTAACATGATGTGATACTGTTATTTTATACACTGTTATCGATGTATACACTGTACTTGATTTTTTCTGTTTGCAATGCAGCATTTGTTACTTTTGCCAGTTTTAAGTATGTTATTTCTGATATTAATTAGGAGAACACCTTTTTTAAATGCTACAAATTACTGTTAAATTTTGTCTTTACTATACTCTCCTTTTTATCGAGATAATAACCTCATCTTGTTTTAATAAAAGATTCAACTTAAAATGTTTACTTCACAGGCTGAACTGACAGTGTTAACATGCTTTCATACGTATTTGCTATAAAACTCATTTTTGATATAAAAGTTCTAACATGTAATTTTAGAAGAAGTTTCATTTTTAAGACTGTGATTTCGATGAAGCAAAGAAAATTCTTCTCGGTTTAGGACAAGCTTTAATTTATAATGTTATTAATATATATGTTAGTGGAATTTTAGGATTTTCATACCCAGTAAGACCAACAGCACTGAAAATAATGACCTCTAAGTACACTTAATGTTTTTCTTTCTTATATTAGGATATGCACCTCATTGCTTTTTAAGTGGTACATTAAATTTGGTGAGTTTTCTGTTAAAAATTATGTCCCAGTTAATGCTTTTACAACAATTTCTAAAGGACAAGAAAGAAAAATTCTTTTATCTCATCAGGAGATCAAACTAAAGTAAAAAAAAAATGTCTTTCAGTTCATCATAGCATTAACAACGGACAGTAGAGTTTTTTCAAAAAGCGTTTCTGTGAAAGAATTAAAGAGATTAACGAAGAAAAGCGAGGAAAAAGTCTGCTAATTAATTATCTCACGATAATGAAACAAGTGGATTACAACGCTAAGTCATTACTTTTATCAACTATCTATGTAACGTTTTTAGAACTGACTGTTTTTATCAAAGGTAAAATCTTGGCAGTTTTCTTTTGAAAAAAAGTCATTGACTTCCCCTTAGAAAATGTTGCACATTTAGAAATTTTGGGTACTTAATATTGAAATGAATCTCAGCTTTCAAAATATTGTTTTAACTATTAAGAATTTTCATAAAAACGTATAAAGTTTAACATATTTAAAGAAACTTCCATTAAATATACAGTGGTGGCCAAAATTGTAGACACTTTTGGAAAT